TGATGTGGGCTACTCTTGCTACACGAGAAAGGATCACGCATCGATAGCCAAACTGGTAGAACAGTTCATAATGGAGCAGGAGCTGGCACCGGAGCAGACGGCACAGCTCTTCAAGCATCTTGCTGCTTTGCTGCTCTCGCAGCCTGGAGGCAGTTCTTTAAACTTTATTTTCTATTTTTCCCATCTAAGTGCTACTTTTTGAGAAATACTGGTTAGGTGTGCTTTTAAAAGTGCCTCTTTAAGCAGAAATACTTCAGAGATAGGAAGCTAGCAGCAAGTTTTTATGTGTGCCTGAATGCTTCCCCATGATTGTTTCTTTGTCGAAGCAGAGTGTCAGTTCCTCGCTTTCTGGGAACAGGAACTTCTGATATGGGCACTTGTTGGCTAGGACAGCTCATCTAGCTTCTCTCTGTCATCCTTCTTCAAAGCTGCCACTTACCTAATAGTTTTTCAAGACTCCCAGTAACTAATGCGCAAGTTTCTGTGCCCTAATTTCTCACTGCAACCTAATCATTGTCGTAATCTTCATGGCTGCAGTGTTCTGAAGGGATCACAGGTGACGTTTGAACAAAAAGGCATTGAGAACCACTTGTCCTGCTGTACTCATTTTCTTATTTTTATGCATTTGGGGATGAGGGGCAAGCTAGCTGAAAAGAAGTTCTAGACCAGGTTTCAGCGGAAAAGTTAGGGGTTTGTGTTTATTTCTTTGCTTTGAACATTTGAGAATTTTTTCTTGGGGTTTTTACTTCATGTTTTCAGTCTTTTTGAAGAAGAAATGGCTGAAGCTTAATACATTATACAACTCAGATTGTATAAGAAACTTAGATAAAAATGTCAAAGGGGACTTTCTATTAGTGAGAGGGTGTCAGAAGGGAAAGTACCCAGTCCAGGAGTGATGAATAAACAGGAAGCTGATCAGCTCTGTACCATTTCTTTGGCTGCTGTGTCTGCTGCTTGATCCTTCACTTGCGTTTTGTTCTTTTCTTTGTGAATAGCTCCACTAGCTTTCTGTCATGTTGCTCACAGGATTTACAGACAGAGTGGGAGGAGGGGAAAAAATACAGTTCCTGTTTCCTCTTCCCTTAACATACTGATGAGCGCGTATGAATCTGAAAATCTTAAGGATCTCATGCTGAAATTACTTAAAAATTATTTGCTGCTGGAGAGTTGTTATTTAATCTTCCAGTGTTTCCTGCCCTTATAAATGTAAGAAGCAACATTTTCAAATGGAGCTAGTGAATTTTGTGTTAGTTTCCACCCTACTAGGGCATTCTCCATTCTTTTTTTCCTCTGGAAAATGTAGATAATCTGTCTAAGTCTACTCAGTGCTGGTAAAACTTCATTTTGAGTTCTGCATCCAGATTTGAACACTGCTGTGCGAGGATAGCTGACCCATTTGAAAGAGGTCACAAAATGGCAGCGACAGTTGGAGATCAAGTAGGCATGATCCGTAAGGGAAGAGGAAAAGAACTGGATTTATTTAGCCCAAAGACAAGTTTGAAGAGGAGCTGATACATACTAAGTGTTTGAAGTTGTAAAATGTTCTTGCATGGAAGAAAAGGAACAGTTTTGTTCTCTGTATTCACAGCAAATAAGGGAAATTGCAAGAAAATTCAGCTTAGATGTGAGGGGAGAAGTTAAAATAATAGACGATAAGAAGGTAATTAAATAGTTTGGGAAGGCTGTGAAATCTCTGTCAAAGGTCTGTAAGAGAAGGTTAGACAAATGGTTTTCAAGAAAGGGAACTTGGGGAGGAAGTCTTAGGAAATTTCTGCCTCCTGGCTTTTCTGGGACTAAATAATAGAAAAATGTTTGAAGGACTTAAAACAAGAGCCATGAAGGAGCATAGGCTTTTTAACTCTCGGATATGTCTACATGCTATTTTGCAGGCAAACATGAGCTCACACAGAGCAACTGATCTGAAAGCAGTACAGCCACAACAAACATGGCCCAGTGCCAAGCTGAAAAGGCCCACTGAGAGTGGCACTATCTAGTTTCTGAGTGCCAAACTGGAATCTATTTGTGTTGGCATGTTTTTGCTGAAAGACCAAGCAAGGTGAGAACAAGATGCCTCTTAATAGTTTTAGATGCAAAACATGACAAATAAAAACTTATTAAAATATATCCAGAACACGGTGGTTAAACTGCATTTAACTATAAAAACACTTCAAAATCCTGTTTTTGTATGCTTTTATTTGGGTTCCAGTTGAAGTTATGTGCAAATCAAAATAAAAATGAATGCTCTTGTGACAAATCAGGAACATCTTATTTGCTGTTTTCTAGCATGATACATGTAGAAAGCTATGCAATGTGTTAGTGTGCATTTGTAGCATTTCTTCTGTCCTCTGTAAGAACTGCAAAAGGCACATATATGCAGAATTTTAATAGACCTACAGCAATTCTCCTTTTTAAAATCTGCTAGGCCAGAAGAACACTTCAGCCTACTGTAATATAGCCTTCAAAAGTATTTGCACTTTGGGGTGTTTTTTTCCATGTAGTTCAGCACTATCAGCATTCTTGGTTACACAAAATACAACCTATGCGGTGCAGGTTATTACATATGTATTATACATAAATTTCTCTTATGAAAGTGTGTTTTTAAATTAAAGGTATGTGCAGAACTAATAAGAGACTTTTAAACTGTATAAATAAAAAAGCTTTTATTTTGCAGTAAAACAGTTCTTGCTTGCTAGATATTGTTCAGGTGAGGGGGTTGTTTACGTCACTTCAAATGCCAGTGATCCTTAGACAGCCTTTGTCCGCATGACTTGAACCTTTTCTTTTAAATATAGCTAGTGCATTTATCCATCGGTCCTTTTTCTGCTTGTTCAGAGGTCTATCACCAATTGTTTTATACCCCGCTCCAGTAAGCATCATCAGCCTCAAATGAAGCAGCTGTTCAACAGATAGCAAAACAACTTTTTCTGTAATAATTCGCATAAGGGGAGCAGAATATATACAGAGACTTAAATATATACCACTTGAATACACAGATACAGCATATAAGGTGTGCAAGATGTATAACACTAACTGCAGTACGTTTCAAGAATGTATTTTGGTACATGGGGATGTGGCTGTACCTGAAAAACGTGTCTGGGCTAGCCTTATGCAAAAAGACTTTCAGTCCTTCCTGGTTGGTCTTAGATTTGAGGTTCTCACTGAGCTGTTGCAAGATTAAATTAATTCTAGAACTGTGTTATAAAATAGTGAAGAATAAATTAATTAGAACAGGTTTAAGGTGTTTGAGTGATACAAACAAATCCATAACTGGTAGTCATTCTTTCAATACCCTGTGAAGACTAATGCTGCATTTATCACAGCAAAGCGATACATACTTACTGTAAAAATCTTTCAGAGCCTGAATTTACTTTTTTTTTTTAAAGTCATTCATAGAAAGATCCAGCATTTTTATACATTCTGCTTTCAAAATGTGTCTGGTACAGAAAGTAGCAGCACTGACATAGCAAGTTTAATAAACACTTGAGAGAGATTCTGCTTAAGTCAAGGCTTTTGAATCACCGCATTTTTGTCACAAACAAGACAGTTTCCCAGTGTAAATTCTGCCTTTTCTGTAAGTCTCTCTTCCATGATCTTTTCCTTGGTCATCTTAACTTATGTTAAAATACATGAATGGAATCTTAACAAAAAATAATTTTAATTTATTGTAACATTGCAAAAAAAGATTTAATGTTTGCCTTAATTTCACTTTCTAAGCTTAGCATGGTTATTAAAAGCTGCATGTACACTTGAGGTAGGAGTCTAATGTATGCACACATTGTTCCTGTTCTTCCTTGTCAAACTGTATTTGAGACTCTTTACATACGTAGAAAAAGTAGGAAAGCTGCTAAAAGAATACCTCAGATATAAATAAAAATAAGGAATAACCTCTGTGTATGTGTTTCATAGTCTTTGGTTAATTCAGAAAACAAGGCGGATAAGGGAAAGGTAGAAATGGGGAAAATGGGGGAAATGCAAAAGGCTGTATGTCTCAATAAGCCAAACTGTTCTTCAGACAGTGAATGCTGAGAATCTCAGAGTTCTTTAGTTAGTGAAAACTAAATAAAAATTAAATTGTTGAAATAACTGCAGGATCAGATGTTTGTACTGTGGAAGTACAGAAATTCTGTGAATACTGATTTTAAGTTTTATGCCCCTGTCAGTAAGCATTGTGCACTTCAGCACTGTGAGTAGGCATAACCCTCGCATAGTGCTTGAGTTGAATATGTAGATTTTCATATTTTTTTCATGTAGCTAGCACAAGGGGGTAAAAACAGAAGCAGGTAGAAAGAAGAGCTCAAGGAACTTTGGAGAAAGCATGGCAAAAAGAGAAGGCTTTAGAAACAGGTTAGAGAAGACCAGAGAGACATCAGAACACAGCAAGACACAGAGAGAGAAAAATATGTCTTACCTTCTGGTTGTCTTAATTTAGGTCTCTGTTTTACAATGAGGTCAATTCAGGTCTGTGAAAAGCTCTGTTGCACCAGTAGTAATGGTCCTCCCACACAAAATAATTTAAGGGAGCAAGCCTCCAAGGGCACATTGGGAAAACAGTCTTTGTCTTCTGTGGTTTTATGCCAGCATTCATTTTTGTTATGTGGCATTTCATATGTGTCTGGGTGTGTGTATTTAATGTGTAGGACATCAATGACTTATTTCTATGGACGTATTCTGGGAAAAATGGACTTCTCTTGTCTTTCGTCTAAGCATCGAGGAAGTCAGTTTATTTTTTTTTATTTGTTTTGTTGTTATTTTCTAGTTCTGTATGCAACCTGGAAATAAAAACAATTGTTCTGCTTTGCTATTTGAAATGTCTAGGTGGCATGCTATACAAGATCAGAGAATATCTGTAAATTAAGTGTTAGTCTCCTTGATAGTGAAGAGATTACTGATAGACTTCTGGGTCGAAAGAGGAAAGCATGTGTGGTTTCAACAGGTGAGTGATTTGTATGTTTTGTGGTCTTTACAGATAGACGTACAGAGCTGAAGAATCACAAGCTGAAATGAGTAACCAGGAGACTGATGTTCTACGTTGCTGGAGATGTAGAAAATACATAGCAAATTCTGTTTGCCTTGCAAAATGTCATGGAAGAGAACCATCCGAAGTAAGTATAGTATCTGGAGGGAGTTTGTAACACTTTCCAGTGCCACTGGTTTTAAATAAAGGAGAAGTATTAGACTTGCCCTCAGTAATTAATCTCCTGTGGAGATAAGTACTAAAATATGGACAATTCCATAGAGAGTAACGTAAGCAGTAATGCTAGTGAGGCCAGGTAGGCAGTGATCACCTTTATGTTCTGCGACATGAAGGCTGGTATTCATGATATATTTGACTACTAGCTTGTGTTGAGTATACAATGTTACCATTTTTTCATCTAAAAATTTTTTGGTTTAATATTTCCTAACAGAGAACTCTTTTTTTCCCAAGGTGTTTTTTAAATACTGATACTAATCTCCACTGTGGTAGTTAACTGTGTATCAAATATTCCTACATCAGAAACTTTTGCTCTTCATTTTGAAAAAGTGGGGGGTAGTCTGTGCACAAAAATAGTTCAGAAGATTAGCCTGCTGTGAGGTGGGGGATGCCATGCCAGGCTAAAATAGCACTTAGTAATTTACATCATCTTTATTGAAGTAAAGACAAAAATAATCATATGGAATAAAACAAGGACAGAATATTTCCTGCTGCTTTATAATGGCAGGTAGTAATCACAAAAAGTTAGAATCTTTCGAAATATGCCAAGAAGACTGTGCTTGCATCCTGTGATCTTGAATCAAAGCAAAAAAGCAAATAGAAGGGAAGGTATTAATCTTTTTTATTAACACACTAGAAATGCAACACCATGCTTTCCGGCACTGGGGAACGTTATAACCAATAGAGGTAGGTAGAAACAAAGTTTTTATTTTTTAAGATCCTGATATAATTAGTATTATTAATAAATGCCATTTTAATCACTCTGCTTACAGAGTTTGAGGTTCTGGAATATTTTTCATGCGTCATACTTCAGGATTTTTATTCTGGTCATGGTCATTTTTTGGGGGTGGGGGGTGGAATTTCAACTACTTTCATGGAAAAAATGTAGTGAAAAGAAGGAGGTATCTTTGTCTGTGCCCCATGGTGGAGCTTTTAATTGCTAGGGGAGATCTACCATCGTTGTGCACAAGACTGAAATAGCTACTTCTCTAATTATGTAGATAGCAGATAAAAAAATGTAATTTAATGCTACTTCCCAAGACATTGAGAGGCAAAGATTGTACTATGATGAGAAGAGTAATGTTTTCAGTATGTCAGCTTTCCCTGATGAACGTTAGTCAAAGACATAGCTGAAATATGAGTAGAAGAGAAAAGTCTTAGAACAAATCTTAAAACCAAATGTTGAAATTATGAATGCAGTATAAACACTTTAAATCAGAATTATATCCGAGCTGAAGTACAGGAACTTTCCAGAGATAGGAGGAAGATGATAGCATAGACATGGCAAGTGGATCTATCAGTCCACTGTCATTACTTGGAAAATTTCTAAAAGCTTTGGTGTATAGCCCCTCTTCCAGTTTTCAGCAGTGAAACTTTTATTCCCGTGAGTTTCATAACATAGGAGTCAGTGATTTTCCATATTTATAAATTTTAACAACTGATTTTAATTAACACTCACCAGAGTTTCCTTGTATTTTTAGCCACCTTTATAACTTCACTGACATTCCTAAACCATATTAAAAGATTTAATTATGCTTGTATCATTTCTGTGCTAAAAGGTAGTTAAGTAATTATTTTAGTATCAGTTAGTGAAATACTACATTTTTTTAGATTTTGTTTTCTCTTCAGCTGGTCACATCATTGCAGTAAAAACTGAAAAGTTGCTAAGAGTCCCTGGTTTCTCTGCTAGTTATTCTAACAAGCATTAGAAAATGGATTTAAAACTCTTTGTGGCATAGTTGTGCAGTACTGACCACTCTTCATATAAACAAGAACTTAAATTTTCCTATCTTTACTTGAAAATTGTGCCAGCCGATAGTGCTTCTGAAATCAATTTCTGAATATACTTGGGAGATTGCATACTTTCTGTTCTTGTAAACAAAACAAAACCACCTCCAAACGCCTCCATCTCCACAGTGGAGTCTGTCCAATGTCCCTAGATTCAGAAATAGAGAATTACTGACAGCATCTACCTGATTTTTAACTTAAAGAATGTACCAGTATCTTTGAGTTTTATCACTTAGTAATAAGATATTTACTGAATTTGGGAAGCTGACTTCTGGCTATATTCAAACAAAAAAAAGCTTACATGAACGTTGAATGTAAGTACAATAATTATTTTTTTAACAGACATCACAACCTTCAGCTGCTGCTCAGGAGTCTTGCAACGTATGGCATGTGAACTTAGAAGCCATTCCAGAGTGGGTGAAATGCGTCATTGAAAAGGTTTGCATCTTTATCATTCAAAATGTGAAATAAGTAAGGGGAACAAATTTCAAGGGCACTTTGCTGCCATGCTGCCATGTATATTACTGGGACCTTCTAACTGAGGGAATTTTTCTCAGTAACTTCTAACATTACCATTTACAGAGGCTTTTTTCCTTCTTAAATGTTTTTTTAATGTATGCAGAAAACCTGCAAGTGATAAATTCTGTTCCTGCCCATTTATAGTTGAATGTATTCATGTTTGTCCAAGTACATGTCATGGGCACCTCTGTATATTTTGTCAATGCTTAAAATTATATTAATTATCTAGGCTTTGAGTTTTGGTTTGTCTTGATCATTGTATCTTGCAGTACTGATGTATGTTGACAATGAAGCATGTTCCTCCGTAAAGCTGGACTGTGGGTTTGTTAAGAGATCAGTCGTTCGCATATGATGTAATGTCTTTTATATTTAATGTGCTATTATGTCATATGAATAGAAACTCCTGCAAATGTAAATGTCACTGCTTTTGAGTTTAAACTACCCATTTGAAATTACAAACCATTTCATAACTTTCCTGCTGTACTGATTGCTTCAGCTGAGTATTTTCTTTTTGTTGTTGTAGGTCTAGATGTTAATGTTGTTGCATAGATACAATAAGCCGAAACAGTGCTTTTCTTTTGCCCTACAGTTTTTCTCTGATGAGTCTTTGATTTTGAGAGGCAAATGATATGTGCATTCCTTTCTACTTAGACTTCAGTGTCTTAAGTTTAATTATACTCCAAGTAAATTTTGATCTAAGCAAATCCACCCTGAAAATGGGAAAAGAAAGAAAAAAAATATGACTGTAAAACAAAGCATTCAAAAATTAAGAAAATTTGTTTCATCTTCCTTCATTGTTTTGCTGTATGTTTTGTTTTGTTAAACATTAATTAAGCTCTTTTTAAAATTAATGATCTCTTACACTTCAGTAGTGCATGGCAGAATAGAGTATCTGTTTCAGAAACATTAATCTTGGGGGTGTGTGAAAATTAGGGGTGATGACATATTTCCCCACTTCATAGAATTGTCTAATCTTGAATGCCTGATCATAAGGATGCAGTTTTTTACAGTACTTTGCATGTTATATTATTTCAGTAAAATTGGATTCAATATTGATACTAATGTTGTTCTTTTCACCTTTAGTTGTAAATGGCAAGCCTTATGCATTTGAAAGCCTAGAGGGTCAGGTTGGAGACTCGGCAAATACAAGACCCATAGACTGCTCAGAAAAGGTTTAACATACTTGCTCAAGATTGCAGAGCAGCAATGCTCCTCTGGTGGCAGAGGCAGAGAATGCAATTCTCTATGAACACCTTCAATATCTTAGCATTCATTTTGTCCTTTAATATCCTGGGAACTCTTGCCTCATCCACTTGTGACTTCTCTGGAAAGCTTCTGTGGTTTATGGACAAATGTGTGGGTTTTTTAAACAATTCTGACTTATCCCCAGATCCTCCTGGGCTCTGAATAATATTGTGATCATGTGTTACTTTCTCCTGTGTGACTCCTGAATCAAAGGCTAAATCATTTTACATAAGCACAAAGTCTATTTGCAGACTGTAAAAACCCACTGCTTCCCAGCCAGTTCTTTTTTGCCATCTGTCCCTGTTCTTAACCAATCTCATTGGGTTTCATGCACACATTAGCGTGTAGATAATCTTCAGTAATTATAAATATGTTCCTAGTGCTGCTAGTGACCTTTACTGACCTGCGTTTTCTTTTCCCCATCACTCATCACTTGTTTTGGCCTGTTTGACTAAGCCTTCCCAGTTTTTTCTCTTCATGCAGTCCGTCATTAAATCTGTGTACCCTCAGCTCCTTTGCAGATCTTGCTGATTTTCCCCCTACCACCTCCTCCTCTAGTAGGTTGTTGCTTCTTTTACTGTGTCAGTGCTTCCACAGTCCGTTGCCAAACTCATGCTAAATCAATCCTGGACTCCCTTCTACTGCACCTCATCTCCCAGTCTCTGTGCACGTAGGACATAGAGATGTTCTTTTTCTTCCCTACTGTCCCTTGCATTCCCATTTTTGCCAGGCTCCTAGCCTTCTTCCCTAACCTTCAGGAATCACTTCTCCTCTCCATTTGGAGATCCAGATCACTATTCATAGTACCTGAGTGCCAGAAAGACTCACTAAAGGCACTAGGAAGTGCTTTTCCCTGAATTTTGGTGCCTAGCCCATGGAATCTGGGAAATGGAGCATGAGAGACTTACATTAAATCTCTGAACCAGCTTAATTCTTCTTTGGGAATAGCAGATGCACATATTGGACAGCCTCATAAACTGAGAGAGACTGTGCATGTTCAAGGAATTTTCAGGGATTTAAAAGCCTTTGGTCATGTATAAATTGAGAATTTTTTTCCCTCTAAGTTAAAAACATGTCCAGATTTAAACAGATTTTCATAGGTGCAATGAAAGGCACATCTTTGATACTTTGTGCAATTTAAGGTTTTAACCCACAAGGCAGGAGTAAGTTTCTCAAAGAAGTGTTTCCAGAACTTTTTCTAGCATTGCATGGGAAAAATAACTTTTTTTCCATATTTTTTTTTTTTCCAAAACTGCAAAATAGGATTTACTGAAACTTTCTGAAGCTTTCAATCAGACAAGCATCAGTCATGGAATCAATCTTCCCAAACTGCCTTGAAACGCATTTGCAACTGAAAGCAAGGCTTTTTACTAAAAATGTTGGGCAGCTTCTGTATTCATGGCTCAACCCCACTTTAGGCACACTAGTGAGTAATGTGTGACTGGAGTTGATAATGTTGTTTCTCATCTGGGCTTTGATCCTACAGACACTTGCATAACTTTAATCCTCAAAAAAGTTTCTGCTAATAAATGAATGTATTTACTGAAAATACTAAAAGCCATGCAAATATGTAGGCGTTTATAGATCTTTGATACGTATTTTCTTTTGAAAAAAATTCCTTTAGGACTGAAATGAAATTAATAGAATTACAAGTAATGAAAATAACTGACTCATTATGGGTAGAATATTAAAGATTTGTCATGGTATCTGCACACAGATTATGCTGTAATACTATGTACACCAAAGTACAAGTACCATTCCAAGCTCATGGGGTAAGCAAAGTAAAAAGCTATATTCCCTTTGTAAGAAATCTCCTTCTGCTGTACTTAATATGCAAGAGATGTATCAGCGCTCAGAAGGCTCAGCTGAGAAACTGTGCTTGCCAATTCCAGATTAACATAGTAAATTGATTTCACTGCTTGAAAGGACCTAATGTTTTCATTACTATTGCAGCATTATTCTGTCTATGGACAAATTTTAAACATGTTTCAAAGCTCCTACATTTTCACATATGTGTTCTAGATTTCTGAGACTTAATCATCACTGCAGCAAGCGGAGTGTTGACCAGAACATTATTTATGGTGGATTTTCTTTGTGAAGTCTCTTTTATTGTGTTTGAAAAAAAAAAAGTAAAACCTTTTATTAAAGGAGAAAAGTAACTCTAGTAATGATTTCTTAATCATGTATTTACAATGAATGTATTGGGTGGGTTGGGTTTTTTTCTTTTCTTGTCAATAGGCACAGTGGACAATTGGAAAACTGCACTGTCCATTCTGTGAGGCCTGCTTAGGGGGCTTTAACTTTGTTTGCAACACAACATGTTCCTGTGGACAGTTAGTAAATATACATTTCTGCAAAAGTCGGACTGACTATCACCCAGCTTTCTGTGTTAAATTGGCAAAATCATCAGGAAAGCACGTGCCTCTCCTCAAAATTCAGTCTAGTTTTAGCAAGGATACCTGCCATGAAGTGGTAACTGCAACTGTGGAAATCAAAAATCAAGGGCTTTCATACATGGCCAGAAGTAATGATAGTGGAAGATTAACAGAAGCACTTTGTCTAGAAGTAAGAGCTCCCAGATATGAGATGAAAAGTAAAAAACTTCCTTTAAAGGCATTAAATCAAAAAAGATTTCTTTCTGCTGTCTATCCTATGAATGATGCATGCACTGTAAAACCTCTTCGCAGAAGATCACGTAGTTTGGATTTAAATATCAGAGAAAGACTTGTTTTGTCACCTGTGTTATATGAAACTTGCAGCATGGGAACAATTTACCATGGCCAAAATGAAAATCCACCTGTTTACACACAAAGTGGCTTGCAATTAGTGTCCAATAGGAAAGACGGTAATTCTTTTCAGGACTTACATAGTTCCTGTGCTGACAAACTACAAAAAAGGTTTCGAGTTACTTCCTTTGCCACATTACTACATAGAAAAACAGAAAGTGAGTGTGATTTTGAAGCTACTGGACAATCTTCTGGGAGTGCCATTGCTGATGGGCCACCTTTTGTGATGAACCTTTCTTCACCTACAAGTGCTGTAGAAGAGGAACAATGCACCACATCTGCTGGTCTTGTGCAGCCTACGAGTACTTCCTTTAACCAAAAGCTGAATAAGAGAGAAAGAAACAAGTTGAAAAGCTTGAGGAGAAAACAAAGAAGGAGAGAACGGTGGCTACAGAAGCAAGTAGGTGTTTAAAAATAATTATGCTACTTTTTTTTAGAGTTTGGCTTACTTTTATAAATCATTCTGACTTTTTTTGATGCTGTCTTTTAATACTGGTTTTATGTGGTACTGTTTAGAGTGAGGTATCCTGCAAACAAGGATTTATGACCTCTTCCTCCTATTAGTTTTTCTAATTCAACCCAATCATTTTTTTTCTGTGTAAAATCATAGCTTGGTGGGTATATATAACTAGTTTCTGTTGGCCTTCTAATTGTGTTGTGATACAAAAATAAATTTGAAGTGGGAAAAAATACAGTAAAATTTAATCAGTGTGATTAAAAGAAAACTAGGTGTTCAAATTGTTTAAATGAGAAACCCTAGCATTTCAGGATTTCCTAACTTGTAAGTAATGCCATTTTGAGTTAACTTTACACTTAAGAAAAAATCATGTTTTAAAAGATGTTTTCATTTGTTATTTGTTGTAACATATACTTTTTTTTGAGTAAAGAATTGACTGCTGCTATTTAAAATATCAGATAAATATCAGGTAAAATATCTAACAGAAATGTTACATATTCTTGTCAGTTATACAACCGTGGTTTCCTGCTTCAAACCATCTAAAGCAAAACAGAATTAAAGACCATAGATGGTCATGCAGTTTGAGGGGGGGAGGGAAAAGACCAGGAATATATCTTGACATGAATAACACATTTTTTGTTTGCACTGAAATTCAGTAGAAAGATTCGTTATGCCTTTAAAAGAAAATTTCTCATCATAAACTTCCTGCTACAAAATGCTGTGTGGCCAGCAAGAGCAAACAAACTTCTCATCAGAGAAGTAGTACCTACTCAAGAAGTCATTCTCACTTTGTGTACGTATGTCATTGTGATAATCTTAGAATATTCCATAGATCAAGCATAGTTACATGTAAAGCTTATGTAAACCTTATTTCACAGGTATTTTTTTAATGTGATTACTTTACATTTTATAGTAGTCCAGTCTGATTTAATATTTATGCTTATTTGAACGGACTATGTCTAGGTTAGGTGTTAAATTTTTTTCATCAGTTTGCATTTAATGCAATAGGACACATAGGACCAATAGTTCATGTATGGATCTTCACTTAGTCCTTTGTACCTAAATTATTTTCACCCTTAATATTCTGCTCGGGCACCAAGTGACTTCGAGCTCTTTCCTACAGCTGACAGAATCTCTAGAACAGAGTACAGAATTGAAGCAGAGCAGTGAGTTCGGGATTGAGAGAGAGACACATAGAGGCTGTCTCTCTCAAGTAAATGTAAGAAACAGCTTGAAAACGTGATGGATCTGGGACATATTCTGAGGCTTTTCAGTACGATGTACATATATCTTTTTTTGTTTGGGAAGGCTTTTTGTTTTGTTTAAAGAAGGATTTAAATTGGCACTGCGATATTTTGAAAACTTGTCCTTATTTTGTCAAATACTTCTCTGACACTGAGAGTAAAGAACCTTTCCAAGATCTGGATGTCTTAATATTGAATACTTGTTTTCTAGTGAGTCTAAAGATTCTTAGGTGCCTGAGTGTCTAAAATGGCTTTAAAAATTCCAGCCCTCATTGTTTCTGTTGAATGAAATGATGATGCAAAAGCACAATTTATGACCATTTGCACAGTTGTGTCCTCTGCAGTCTCTCCAGCCACTTCAATCTTTGTTAGATGTTACTTCCAGGAATAAAATGTACAAAATTTTCCAAATTTCTGATAGAAATTGTGATAGAAAAAAGAAAGAAAAATATACTTTCAGATCTTCTTCTTGTTAAACCATGCTTAACCAATTCCCACATTATTTTTAAGTTTCGTATAGCAAATTATATAGAGTTGCTAAATATGGTATGTGTAATTAGTAAGAATATGGTTTACAAAGTACAAAAAATTAAAAAATCAGTATGTAAAATAAATAATCTGGTTTCAAATAGTAGGGGAGTATATTTTGGTTTTTCATTCTTTAACCTTGGTGAAAGTGTGTGATTGTGGCATGGAATATTTAAATGGGCCTGCTTCTCTGACTGTATCAAGCAGCATGTGTGGCTAGTGCATCTGTGTTTCCCATTGCTGTGATATCTCCCCAGGAAAATGTGGATCTAGAAAATCATGTTCTCTGTACAGTCTGACATGTTGCAAAAGGGGATGCTCCCCTGCCATGCACTCCTTTTTGTGGCTGCTCCCTTCTCATGTGCCAGTCTAGGCAATCCTCCCTTTTCTTGCAAGTTTCACTTGCCATGATTTTTCTTCAGTGGTCTGAAGAAACCTCCTTGTAAAAATGTACATTTTGTTACAGTGGTACTTACAATAGGAAGCTGATCTGTGGTACTTTCTAACCATGATTTCCAGCACACTTACCACATGTGCTTGAGCAATGAGATAGTGAAACTTCCCAAAGAGAAAAAAAGCATGAACCTCTGAGTGGATGGAGTGAAAGAGTTTTGATAAATGACAATGGGAAATATTTAAGTGCGCTTTTAAGAAGTACTTCATTCAGTGCAGCAGAACCCTGATCTGAGGTGAATCTCTTCTAAGCTCTCTCTGTTAAAGGTACAGTGCATCTCATTTATATCTTTAAATAAAGCTTTTCTGGAGAGGAGTCCAAGAGAACAGACCTGCTCAGACTTTGGAATTTCTTTGTAAATGCATAGGCTGCTTCTCTAAGTTTATTTTCTAATGTGATAACTTCATCTGCCAAACGTTTTGTCTGCCTTGCAGCAAGCCCAAACATGCCCATAAACATTGTGTTGTGACAGAATGCACTCTGTGATTAAGGGGCAGTGTATACACCTTGGACTGTAGATGGGAGCCACTCTGTGAGCTCCTGACCCGCACTCGTCCCTGGAGGCCTGCGGTGGTGCAAGCTCTGTGGTGTAGGTGCGGGGCCGAGTGAGCCTGCTGACAGCAGAGGGACCCAAGCTTCCTCTGTCTGCTCTGCAAGGGAAAGCTCTCAGTGCCTCTAAGGGGAATACCTGCATTTTATGCATGTGTGTGTGGCACGTTTGTGTTCATGGGCGATTTTTATGTTTCTGGTATATTGTGAGGGTATGGTAGTCACTACTTAAATCTCGGAAGTGCCAATATTAATAATGGTTCTTGTTACCGTTGCTATAGCTAAGATGATGAAGTATTTATTTTATGAATTCCCTTTTGTGTGTATCTGGTTGTATGTTTGCATTGTTTGCTAATGTCTGAAGCTTGTAATAATTTTCTGAAAGATCTCAGACAGAAATACCATTTGTGGCTCTTCCAGTTTTATTTCATGTCTCTTCACAATCATTTTACATGGAGGAAGATTACATAGCAAGCTTCAAAACTGCAGTATCCTCTTGGAAATGACCCTGATCCATCAGAAAAAAATATCATTGGCCTTTTTGCTTTATTTTATAACTTGCCACATCGCCAGTTCTTTTGTATCTTTTTTTAAACATGAAAGTTCTGTCTCACAAAGGTAACTAGTGGTCAGTTTCCACGAAGTGAGTTTGCTTTCGTGCTCCCAGTGTTCATCTGAACTCCCAGTTGGGCGAGAGACTGCGTTGTTTATCCACACTGTCAGGTGCTGTTACCTTGCCCTGCAGCCTTGAGTTTTCAAGTCCATACTGATGTTCTCTAGCAACTGACAAAGTCTTGTAGTGAAGGCACTAGGCTTCAAAGGTTTAGCTTGTGACCTTAGTTCACTTAATCTACCTTTGTCTCTTTTTCACATGTACATTGGTATTTTTCTTGCACTGTCATGTTTGTATATAAACTGTAAATCCTTCTGGTAGCTCGTCATGCCTTTATGTACTTGTATTTCAGTATGGTGATACTCATAACAAGAATTTTCCTCAGACTACTTACGCATTCCTCAACTGGCTTTTGGAGGGCTAAAAGTGTTACTTAGTGTTGGTACCAAAGTAAAGCAGGAAGATAAGGAAATGAAATGAAATCACAGCTGAAGGAGGCAAGCAGTAACTACAAGGTCTTCATCGTGACCTTTGTTAGGGAAATATGAGGCCCTGGAGAAGTTGCTTAAAGTAAGGAAGGAGGAAACGCAGGGGAAAGGGGACAGTCTTACTCCCATACCCTCAGATCTGTACTGAAAGATAGTGGATTTAATATGAGTAATGCTCAGTTGCAGTGACTGACTAGCTGTGAATCCCCAGAACTGAGACTGAGGAATGCAGTAGTGGCAGGGCATTCTGACTCTGTGCAGCTCACACTGTATCTACACCAGCTTTCTCATTCATGTCCCCGAGTGACTGTAAGAGAAATGAAAATCGAATATTGATATAAACCTTTCCAACTTGGGAAAGGTGGGAACTATGATTTCGGTGTTCAAAACCACTCCTGCTCTGGAAAAGTTCTCAAAATAACATAGCAATTTTTAAGTTCTATACTTAACTGGTTGAACTTATATTAAAAGCGTGATAAACTCTGAGATAAAGACAACCGAAGTGCTTCTGTGGTAACATGCAGTCGCAGAGTTCACAGTCCCTGGCCTGATACATTTATGATTTACTCTTTCTGAAATAGTAGTATAATACTGATGGTGCTATAGCATTAATGTTTTAAGGGCTGTTGAGCAGCAAGGCTGCAGGCTGTCACACTCACATCTTTTTTATTGGCAAGGAAGAAACACACTTTGTATATACAAAGCCAAGAATTTATTCTTCATATAGATGAAATCTTAAGAGTGTGATGAAAAAAGGCAGAATAATGTTGCCATTGAGACTGTTATACACACTCACTTGTTCCTCCCCAGTTCCTACGGTTCTGCCCATGGCTCTGCACCTCGGGGTCTGTGGGCCAGCAGCAGACCATGGGGTCTGGTGGTGGGGGTGTTACTGCGGCTTGCCAGCATCTGGGAGTCCTTCCCTGGGAGCAATGTGAAGTTCATGTTGATGGTTTCTTTTTCTTTACCCCAGAATCCACCTGAGGTCGTTTTTGTGTGTTTGGTAACACACTTTTATACCTTTGCTCTTTGTTTGCTGCTCTGCAGCTTCATGCTACATCCAAATT